GGCTGTCGGCCGGCCGGCGTGCCCCTGAGGGGAGGCCTCGGCGCCCCGGGAGCTGGCAGGTGTGGTATTTGGGAGCGGGCGGGTAGAGTCAGCTCGTTGCGAGGGCTCCTCTGGAGGAGTTTTCCTTCCTTCTTCAGGCTCGGAGGCTCCGCGCTAGCGCTTGGTGGTGGCATCTCCTCGGGAGAAGCGTTTGGTTGTTTTTTTTTCCTACCATCTCCTCGCTCCCTCAGCGCCTGACCTGACCCGTATCTCGATGTGCACACCGCCATGGGCAGGAACACCAGCCTGCGCTCGCCCAGAGACTCCCGCCTCGAAGCCCCTTAGGTTTCACACACCGGGGGCCTCGGCGGCTCCCTGACACCCCCGGTGAAGGCTGGGGAGATCTGCGTGGCTCCCGAACGGTGGGCGAAGGCTCTCCGGGGGTGCGGGAGTTGTCTTGGTGGTGTTGTGCAAACGGTTTCCATTGCTTGGAGAGGTTCTGTCACGACGAGGAGAGGAGGCGCTGGGGAAGTAACGCACCGTTTGCAACACCTTCCGTCAGTGCGTGACAATTCAGAGATTCTTAACAAAGCAGGTTTCTACTTTATTTAGGGGTGATTAATAGGAAGGCAGTTCTTTTGCGTTCCTTGTGAGTTTTGGAAGCTTAGGAATTCAGCGTGGTTCCAGGTCTAACAACGCTGTGCCCACATGAAGTGATTTTTTAATCGTGCACACCATCATCATAGGGTACAGCGTCATCATCAACTTTAGGATTTAATGGCTAATTTCAGTAGAATATGACAATATTTAGATCTTAGAAACAAGTTTTCCACAAGCTTTGTGGGAATAGGTTTCTAAGACCATGTTATTGCTCCACGGAGAGTGTCTTTGGCGTGAGCTCACCTTTCTATTAGACATCTGAGAACCCACACCTGCACTTCCCTAGAGGCTGAAGTCCACAGGAATTCAGGTTCTGCTTGTTAAATGTTAGCATGCCTCGAGAGTGAGTAAGGCTCTTCTTGAACTGCATGGAGATTGGTAATCACAGATGCAGAGGTTTGTTTTGGGTTGGGTTTTTTTTTTTGCTTTCCTCATCTTGTGGTCACTAATGGTGCGTAACAACAGCACGCACTCAGTTTGTCCATGGAGTAGTTTTTTTATATTTAACAATATTTAGCTTTGACCTGCTTTACCCTGGAGATGTGTGGTGTATTTGTGTTTAGGTACTCACAGCACTGTTCAGTTGTTTCCTTCTTTCAAGTGCCTGGAGCAGTCACTGTGTGCTCTACAGCACTTTTTATAAATACAGTAGCATTACGCAGAACTGAGCATAATGTGTAGGACAGCAAAATATCTGTTAGAACAGTGTTGTTTTTTCACAGTGCATAGTCACTTGATGGCGTGTAAACTGTATAATTTTTAATACCTGAAGTTACAGGTGATGCTGTGTTAGGACAATTAAGGATTAGGATCACACTAACAAATGCCGTTTTCCCTTTCTTTTGCCTTTATCAAATTTTAGACTGTTTGGGCTGAAATTTTCCAAGTCAGAGATCTCTCTGATGTGGAAGATGATATGCACCATATCAGTCACTCACGATAACAGGGCCAGGAAAAATTACGACTGCATTAGTGCAGAAAGGTGACTTTGGATTGGGATGTACCCTTTGCGGTTCCTGTGGCAGGCTGCTCAGATTGGCCATGTTTGAAGCCTTTGAAAAATAGCTGCAGCTAGCACTTGTGAATTAAGGACTGGTGGCGTTTAATGTCCCGAAAGGTTACACCCATGCTGAGTGGGGAGAGCCTCCCATGAGGCAGGACTTTCCCTGCAGGCACATCTCCTGGAAGGACACAGGTTGTTGGAGGCCAAGTTGAAGGACATAGGGCAGAAGCGGTTGTAGTTGTTAGGTGGGTGGGGAGAAATGGGCAGAAGAATCTCTGCTGGCTAAACCGTGTCCTCCTTCAGACCCCAGGAGAAAACCCCTTAGTTCTGTCTTTCAGCAGCCCTTTGGAGAGGGCAGGTGTTTGCCAAGGCCACTGCCAGGGGTGTCATGTTCCCCTCTGGCTCTGGGATGTGCCAGGGT